TGTTCTCTATAGGATCATTATTTGTTTTTTGTTACAATCACAAATCAGGAAGTCACTTAGAATGCTGTTATTTCCATCTTTAATTTAATAATAAAATGCACCATTTTCATTTCTACCAACTGCTATACAGCTTTGTTAAAGTGCAAGCAAACAGAGCTACATTAAAAAAAATCAGTAGGCATACCTCCTTAATTTGTAACCTCACTCTGGTAATAGCAATTGTTTCTATAGAATCAAGTCATTAAGAGAGCTGTCCTGAGTCAGATCTTTCAATTATCAAGTATTACAAAAAAAAATGAGTGTTTTATAAATTTGATTTTGCAGGCAAACTATAAAAAACTAATTAAAGAATCTGCAACTTCTTGGTGTAGTTGCTGATAGAGTAGGCTTTGGTTATCTGAGGATCTGAGCATTATTTATCTAGATCTGGAAGGGAGCTTAGAGGAGCTTTAGTCCAATCTCAACATTTTACAGATGAAGAAATTCAGGCCTAGGAAGATAGGGACTTCTCCATGGTATAAAGAGAGTTAAATGTGGGAGCTGGGATTTGAGCCTGGACTCTCTGACTCTCAGACCAATACTTTATATGAATAATTATCAACTGAAGCTTATAAATAAAATTACTAACTCTACTTAAGTTCTCAGCTTACTCTCAGACATAGTCCTGTTGTCACTTTCTTACTACCACTTCATCATGAAAATGGTTCTTTCAACATTAACGTAATTTTAAAAGAAGGAAGTGGCAACCAAATTTGGGGATAACTTTCAATAAAGTGTTGAGGTCTTTAACTCAGAACATTAGCAGTGTTAGGAAAATTTGTGCAACTTTAAGTGATGCCTAATGGTAGATGCACTTCTCACCTGACCATGGGCAAGTCATTTGACTTCTCTGAGATTTGGTTTCCTCATCTATAAAATGGGGATAATACACAGTACCTTCCTCACAGGATTGTTGCGAGGCTCAAATGAGATTATGAATGTAAAGTACTTTCTAAACTTCAAACTACTATATAGATGTGCAGTGCTTGACACGTGGCAAGTGCTTAATATTTATTGATTGATGGCTTGATGAAATGTTTGTTGTTATATTATTATACTACATTATATATTATAATATTACACTATTATATGCTCATCCTTTTTTTTAATTTGTTTCAGGAAATCAAATAGTATTAAAGTATTTTGACCAAAATTCAAATAAGGGGATCTTTTCTCAACCTATAATAGAGAAAGTTTCATGTTACCTTAATTTTTTGACTATGTAAGTTATTTTACATTGATTGAGAATCATTGGGGCCTGATGGATGAAGACTTGGCCTTGGAGACAAGAAATCCTTGGTATAAGGCCTCTCTCTCTCTCTCTCTCTCTCTCTCACACACACACACACACACACACACACACACATACACACTGGCTGTGTGATCTAAGGCAAGTCTCTTGAGCTCTCAGAGTTGTAGACAATTTTCTAAGACTGTAAACTATAAAGAAGGTTCTTGCATTAAGAGAGGCAGTGTCATCATCCAAATGTTCCTTATACCACTGAGTCCAATGCATATCCATATTTACATCAGTTATGTTGGATCTTCACATCTGGACCGGGACTTCCCCTGATCAGTATTCAAAATAACTCCTCTTGGAACCTTGAAGCCTGACCAATAGTCACACAAGACATTTTATACCATGTCTATGTGACTAAAGGTGAACCAAAGGAATTGGTGAATTAATTTCAGAAAGGGGTTAAAAAGTGAATATCAGATGTAGAGAAGTGGACACCATGAATTGAAAGTTTCTGATTAGTTGCTCTCTTCAGGATTTTATCTCCTTTAATTTAGATACTATTGGTGGTAAAATGTTTGGATCACCATAGTCTATTCCTGATCTCTAAATCAAGGGAGACTAAGTAAAAACTAGATCTAACATTAAAATGGAGATTCCTTTGGTGTAGAGATTGGATAGGTTGCTGCCAAAGTTCTTTTTAACTCAAAGAGTCTGTGGTTCTATTGCATCCAGTCTGGAAAGTTGGAATGAGAAGTTTGGGGCGAACAATGAAAAGGGCTTTGGGTATTCGCAGGCCTTTGACATTCAGTGATGAGAGGAAGCAAAATCCATGCTACAAAGATAATAAGAAAAAAGGCAGTGTTCTCAGGGGGTCAGATTTAGAACTAGAATGCATTGAACCCACCAGGAGAACAAGGAATGAGGGAGTTCTCTAATCAAGTTGCACCAAAAATAATCTCTTCTTAGAGGGTAATCTTAGCTAGTAAAAAAAATCTAGTTCTATGTGGGCTTAAAGTATAGGGTGCCATCTTTATTCTCCACATTATTGCTACCCAAAATTGACATGCGGATGACTTTCCTTTGGCATATAACCAGGGTTGAATATAAAAGTAATTTCTTTCCTTTTGTGGCTTTTGGCCTTTTTTTCAGCCAAATATTCCATGCCAGGGAATTAGTGTGGGATAGTGGAGAGACCTCTGGCTTAGGACCTAGGAACACTGAATTCTTATCCCTAAGCTGCCATTGTGTGACCTTGGGCAAGTCACTTCACCTCTCTTTGGGATTAAATTTCCTATTTTGTAAAAGGAGAAGATTGGGTTTGATGGCCTCTATGGTGCCTTTCACTTCTCATGTTCCATGTGTTGCTTTTCAGCTGGTGAGCCTTTTGTTTTGGTATAAGTGGGCAGCATTTAAAGAAGGGTGATGCACTTGTATATTTTACTTTCCAACAACTTCACTATTCAGTGGGGATATATTAAGAGGAAGGCTTAAGCATTGAAGGCTTATTTGAGTTATTAAAACCTCACACTCACTGTTGCAACTCAAAAAACACACTGAGATGATTTACAATGTACAAATAAAATTTTAAAATAGCCACCAAGATTAAAAAAAACACACATAGACACATTTTAAAACAATTATATAGATGCCTGTGCCATGACCCTAGAGTTCACATCTTTATTTCTGAGCAATTGTTGCAATGGCACTGTTCAGAATTTAGAAGATATCTCATTATTTTGTTGGAGTTTTCCCTTTCTGCAAACCAAGAGACGTCCTGGCTGGCCTCTTTTCCCCTTGGTGCTACGTGACACTCTGACATCATCAGAGATATATTCAGCCTAGACATATGATCCCGTCTTGTACAAGAAAGAAGGGAAGAAGACTCTGTTTATGGGCAGGACGTGACAGCTAAGCTGAAGATTAAGTGGCATCTACAACAGGTGTTCCTAGGAACCACAACTCCTCCATGTCCTGATTGAAAAAATTCCAAAGGAACTGTAGTTGTATCACAACCCATTGCAAACTGGGAAATAAGGATCTTGTTCTGAACAGATCTGGCTTCTGTTCATCAAGATATATTGGCTATATCAATACCATGAATGTTGGGCAACAGCCATAAGGTAACCTTAATCAAGGATAGAATCTCTTTCCCTAGAAATCTTTAAAATTAGATAGAATTTATCAGTCTGTGATAGTGGTCTTGCAGTGGGGAGGAACACTACACATCTTAAAGACTTTTTTATGATATTACGACTTGATGTAAATTAACATAAAATTGAATGTGCTTCCTGGTAGCGGAGGACCAGTTTATCTATTGGACTAGTATTGAATTGAAGTTGACAATGAAACCAATTCTTAGTGCCTTAAGCATCATGCCAAGAGGGCAAATGTATAATCTTGTCCCCTGAGTCTGGTTTCCTAGGTCTTTCAGGCTCCTTTCACTGCTCTCTGGCTTCAGGTTTTAGCACAACTTGAACTAAAAGCATGAATTTGTAGAATAGATTTAGGTTTTCTAGGTTTGTTCTGTCACTCGTATAATATTTATTCAACAGAAATTGTGCATAAAGTACTACTATTCTAGGTGATTAAATAATTTGAGAAAATAGATAATTTTGCTTCTGACTCAAATTTATTGAGTTACAATAAAAAAAAAACCTTTTGGTTCACTTCAAAGAGGAGACAATACAGGTGTGGTGTTCAATAAATTAGTGAAATTCCTGTTTTGGGTTTCATGATTTGGATGTATTGGTCAATGAATGAAAGACAAAGAAAAACTCAAATCAGAGGGGAGAAATTCTACCTTTGAATGGATAGAGTTAAATGTTTTGTGCGCAGGTTTTTTTTTCTGGGGGTGTAAAGGCTAAAACCCCAAATACATCCCTTTTCCTTATGATCAGCTGTTTATTACATCTGACCCTGGCAGAATATTTTAACTAGATCATCCATGAATATTTTAATAAACTTGAATACTTTTCTGACATTTCAAACATAACCTCATGTCATTCATGCACACTCTCTGCAATTTAAAATGTACAGCATAGCCTCAGCTGCAGAAAAATTGCCATGGTTACTTCCTATACCAACAGTGAACTGCAGTTGGCATTTGAAAGTATTGTATCTTCTTGCTTTTGCATCAAAAATGACATCAATATCTTAATAATCACATTATTATGAATTAATACTGAACCTTGATGGAATGTGCCACTGAGGCCACAGTATAAAGGACTTAGATGTGTAGAAACAAAACTAAAGGTTTTTTCCCCCTTCATGTTTCTTATTTAATAGCTGTGCTCATTTAAATCCCAATTACGTTTTTATTTTATAAATTATATTATTATACATAATGCAAATACCTGCGATGATGCTATCTCTTACTTTAGGCATAGGGAAGTTAATTCATCAAGTATTCGATACTGTAAGTGATATGCCCTTATAATGCTACCCTTATTATCCCTTGCAATGGTGCCTAGAACTTAATCACATATTGTGAATGCTCAGGTCTTGATTATATCTTGCATACTTTTTGAAATTTCATTAACTAAGATACTATAAGCAACCACCTCAGAATGTGATTTAACTGGGAGATAGTTAGAAGGGCAGGCTTTGCCTTTTATTGCCACAAACCCCTCCATTCTACCTTCTGAATAATCTCACTGTACATAATTCATTGTAAGAATCCTCACTCTAAAGAGACTGGAGTATGCAAAATTGTCTTAATTACCTGCACTGGTGCCTGCACCGGTTGTGAGGTCCCCGCCCATCAGACCACCTATAGATTAAGAGGAAATTGTCAGAACACGAATGGCTAAAAAAAAAAATTACAAAAGCTTTACCCTCAGCATCATTAATACCTCGCCCCTCAAACAATTCTGAAATAGCAGAGCACCCCCAAGTCCTACTACAGCTGAAATATTTGTTTCATCGTGACATGCTGTGCTCAAACATTAAAAATACATTCTACATTGACACTTACTACTGACATTGTCCAAGAAAATTTACACTTTTTACAAAAAAGTCACATCTGAGTGGTCTGAGTATTTTTATTTTTTGCCAACGTAATTATTTTAAGGAAATCACCACAACAAAACCAAAGGCACAATAAAATAGTTTGGTGAGGCAGGTACCAATAAATACTTATCACTGTATATTTGACGTTGGGTCTCTTACACAATGTTTTTACCTCCTAAAACTGAAACTACCTTCATCTATCAACTGCCCATGCAAACTGATTGACTATTTACTATTTGTCCTTCTTCAGAGATCTCTATGGTAGCAGCAGCAGCAGCAGCAGCAAAGTATAATTTTTCTTTGTTAAAGTTTTGCTAGATTGTTTTTCCCCTCAGGCAGATACTATGGGAAAGATGGTTTACTGGGAAGTGATTGTTGTGTCAAATCACGTAACCCCCTTTCTCCCAAATATAGTATATGAAACAAGTGCTAGAAAGTTTTTTTCTTTAGTCTCTGTCCATTATTTATTAATGATTCGTAGACATGTTTCCTAATGTAGTGTTTATCTATTCATGGCTGATTTTAAAATATAGAGGCAAAATTTATTTTCAGAGTAAAATTTGGTTGAAAAGAATTAAGAAGCCCTCAAAAGACATTCTGACCTCAAAGCCAGGAAGACCAAATCCCCATTCTGGGTGCATGATGATCCTGGCTCTGAGTGGCTTCAGGCAACTCTCAAAGACTAGAGAATGCCAAGAAGGTGCCAAATTGCGTCAATAGAGGAAGTTTCCTCTGTCTACACTGATGAAATCACAAGTCTAATCCCTATTCTATCATATTTGCTTTCAATTTTAAAGGAAATGATTTGGAAAGGCTAAGTTCCTTTATAAAGAAAAGGGAACAGTTCCTTTTTATGTTTGCAATGTGCTTTCCTCAAAACTCTGTGATGTATATAGGGTGAAGATTACTGTGCTCATTTTACAAATGGATAAACTGAGATTCATAATGGTCTTACAACATCATGTGGGTATGATGTATTATTGAAGTCATGTCTGAATGTCAGTTTGCTGAGGCTAGTGCTTCTCCTGTAATACTGCATTCTTGCTCTTGGGATTATTGCCTAGGCTAAGGAGCAAGACTGACTGTTTTCACGGTCTCAGGAGAGAACTTTGGAATTAAGTGGTCTAATTCTTTCATTCTACACATAAAAAATGTAAGGAAGAGAAGAGACTTATTCGAGGTCCACAAGCAGTAAGAAGCAGAATGAGGATTCAATACAGGTCTCTTTACTGTAATTCCACTTTTTTTTCTCTCTTTCCAAAAAGAGGATATTTCTCTTTTTGAAAAGATATGTTTGCTTTTCTTTTTCAGGTGATATTATACAGATCACTAGCTGCTTCTAATTTTATTATTTTTTTAAAATTTGAAGCATTTACATTTTGAGACAAGCATACTAAAAATAATGTACTTTTAAAAAGTTTGTATTTTAAGATTGGTTTTAATGTCATCATATGTGAAATTCAATTAAATTTCTATAAACTGGAAAGAGGTATATATGGATGCATTTTAATGCATTTTTTAAAATTGAAAGAATAGAAGTAATTAATGGGTAACAATTTTTCCTTAGGCTTTATGGGCTATCTATTTAGACATTTTGAAGGAAAAATTTTTTTAAATGTGAATAAAATACTTAATTTCTTATAACGGAGATCCATAGGCCCAAGCAGATTTAAAACGTCTTCCTACAAAGCATTCTTTCAAAAGATTCCAATATAAATACATCACAGATTTATGCTGCATAGAATTTAGAAATGGTTTGGCTTCTTATTTTTTCTCTTAATAACTTGGATAATGTTGGAATTGATGAGATGGCACTTTGCCTTCGTACAAAGTAAATAAAATACCATAACTCTTTTGCTAAAAGTAGCCTCTTAAAAATGATCTGTTGACATTCAATATTTGACAGTACATACCTGTGTTACCTGCACTTGGAGGTCGATGTGTCACTCCAGGAGACATACTATTTCTCTGCAAAGAAGGGTGGGCCAGTGGCAAAAGGTTGGGGTTGCCCAGTGAGCTGACTGGATTGCTATATACCAAACTGTTGTGATTGGACACTGGGATAGAAACTGGCATCTCAAAGTTGGGTGGTGGAACAGCCTGTATGAACATAAGAAGGAGAAGAGACAAGAATAGTACAGAAGCCCAATAGTCATACAAGTACAACTTTTCTGTTTTAATTCAAATATTTTGTAGCTTGTGGTTAAAGTTCTTTAAAAAAGCTTTTTTTTTTTTTCGGTTTGAGGATAAATCACTATGTAGTTACATCTTAGACCATTAAGAAAGGCTTTTAAGATGGTAAAATCATAAATTGATTTTTAAAACAGTTAATACATTTTCTTTGTGAATGTTATAAATTGTTTCACTTTTGTCTAAAACAAAATCCCACTTCATTAGACATTATCTTCTTTTTTTATTCCATTCAATGAAGGCATAAGTCATAATTGTTCATTTGTGATATCTTAATCTGGAATTACAAATGACTGCAAGATCAAAGGCACATGACGGTGATGACTTCATTGTCCATAGAAAAGTAAGGACTATGATACACACAAGGGAAATTTTAGTGTAATTACTTTTTTGAAATATATTTATTCAGAAGTTTTGATGACACAATGTTATCTCCTGGCATGTTAACAGCATATATGTGTAATTACATTTTGAGAAAACTTGCGTTTTGAAAATAACTACAGAGAAAGCAGGTGAAAGAAGGATGCATATAAATGTAGAGAGGTACAAATAATATGTACTAGCTAATGGTTTCAAATTTGGGGTGGTGGTGACATATAATGGCTTCAGAGCATACTTGTTATATTACAAACTATATTAGTATGGACAGAATAGTAAGATCTATAATTCTATATCAGCTAGAGAGAGCTTGCAATTATGTAGTAAAGTGATGCCATGTAGGTGACTAATTAGAATAAAGCCCCAAATTCCCCCAAATCCCAAATTTTTCTCTCTTTTCAGGAGGAGATTTTATAAAAAATATTTTGTGTGGTGGTACTGTTCTGTTTTGATTATCTGGATACTAACAGCTTTAAATAATATACTTGAGAAGCACATACTTGTGCCTCTTGGGTCATTTACAACATCTTTTTACATTTGAAATGAAAATTGGGTTGTGTACATTGGCAAAGGCAGCTAAGTGACTCAGTGGGATAGAGTGTCAGGCCTGGAGTCAGAAAGACTCATCTTCTTAAATTCAAATCTGGCCTCAGACACTTACTAGCTGTATGACCCTGGGCAAGTCACTTAACTCTGTTTGCCTCAGCTCCTTATATGTAAAATGAGCTAGAGGAGGAAATGGCGAGCCACTGCAGCGTCTTTGCCAACAAAACCCCAAATGGGGTCAGAAAGAGTCAGACACAAACGACTAAAACAACTGAACAACAACATTGCCACAGGATATATATATACACACACCTACACACATATATATGTATATGTATCTTTTATATATCTTACATATATCTTTTATATATCATGGTATATATGTATACAGATATAGATAAACATACTCATAAACATATGGTCTTAAAATGGAAAACACACACAATATTCTATAAATAATTTTTACACAGGGAGTTTTGTTTTAAATAACCTCCTTACCATTAAATAATAAAAATACACATATATATGGAGATATAAATGAAAATTTTTTTGAAGTATTATTTTTCTTTCTTTAAATCCTACATTTAATTTTGTCTAGTCTAGGACAATTCTGAAATCTCATGACTGTTCTATCATAGTACTGTTGTCCATTTCTTATCATTTTGTCTCATAATGCCCTTATTGTCCCACAGTCTTTATAATGCTTTATTCCTCCTGTCTCCTAGGGCCTGACCATGCCATTGTAACTCCTTTTTTTTTTTCATATTTCTTTGATTCCTCATCATTCAAAGGAGGATGAAAGTTTATAGCAGCAAAATTATTAAAAATACACTTAATAGATCTTAACGTGTGGTAAGATAGGAAGATGAAATATTATTTTAGAAAGACACCATGTTAATAACATACCAAATAATAACAGATACCGAAATCTTAGTAGCCCATTGAGAAAGCAACATGATTTTTTACAAATAAAACACTGTATCATAGAAGAAATAGGCGTAGATGAATAAAATTTCTTTTTCACCAATGAAGGTACCAAATGGAATTTATTCTAATTCCTCCCTGAAAAGAACCATCAGTTGAGACCAGGCTGGACTAGGTAGGATATTAGTTTTGTTGGTAACTTTTCAAAGTCTACCAGCTGTCAAAGAGGCAGAGAAATTTAAATATGATGCCCAGTCCTTGTTCTCTACTGCTACATATAGACATTAAAATTGAAAGTGTTTTTCCCATTTAATTTTAAATGATTACTTTATATCACCATAGTAAGGCTTTGTGGTTTCACAGGTGTGAGAATTCTCTCCAACCACTATAGCCCACAATTCATCCACAACTTAATAGGCTTATACAGTCCCTTGAGACCCAGGGAAGTTAGGTTGCCTGCCCATGGTTACATAGCTAGTGAGTGTCAGAATTGGGCTTTGAATGTCGGTTTTCCTGATTCCAGGTCCAACATTATATATTATGGCATATAGCCTCTCAATTTATTTCCCCAAATATCAGTTTTTAAGTTCTATGAAGTTCTAAAAGCATAACTTTTATCTTTGGAAAGTCAGTATGGCATAGTGGATTCAGTGCTGGTCAGGAAAGCCTGGGATTGAATCCCACTTCAGATACCTACTAGAGATATGACCTTGATTGAACAAGTCAATCTGTCAACCTTAGTTTTCTCATCTGTAAAATGAGCAGATTGGACTCATGACCACCAAGATCCCTTTCTGATTGTAATCTATGATTCTGTGAAGATATTAAAATTTAAAGAACTTTGTCATTTTAGAGTACCTTATCTTAATAGAAGTTATATGTATAGTAAAGCAGCCCACCGCTCTACAGTACATATCTATATACCAGAGAATCAGTTATACTGAGGGTCAAATAATGTTCAAATTCATAATGATGTATCTTTCCCACTCTAACTCAGAAAACTTATGATGTAGGGATAATGGGATTCTGCTCTAATTTGTAGTAGATGGGCTTGACTTTAAAAGAAAAGTATCGGGATGGAACTGTCCTTCTTACAGCACAAGTATAGGGATAAAACTGCAATCTTTCCAAGTAAGAATATTTGCCAAGGTCATTTATCATTGTCAGTAAAAACAGGCTGGATATATTCACCGGCACACATAGTCATTCTCCCCCATGCCCATGGAATTGTCTGACAGTGAAAGAATCCCTTTGGGATGTACATAAACTTTTTCAGGATTATTTCCGCTGTGCAGAAGTAACACATTAAGCAAATCTTATTCATCCACCTTCTATTGTGTCTATCTTATTATCTGGGAGTTACTTTGGCCCTGGAAAGAATAAAGCCCTGGATGGATACTCATGCACCTGTCCTTTCTTCTTCCCTTCCTCCTCCCACTTCTTTTCTCTCACCCCCATATTTACTAAGAGCTGATTTCCTGTGGTTATTTTCATTAAAAATACTTTTAGCAGCATGCTAATAATGGCTCATTATAACTACCAATAAATATGCAATTACATCTCATGATGGCCCAAGGACCATAAAAATACTGATTTTCTAAAAGCTTATTGGGTCTTGTCAGGGTAAAGGGTAGTTGGTTATGACCACACATTCAAAGAAGATGCACATTTCACAAGTATCTAACAAGTGCAAGATTGCCCTAAGTAGTTTGGTCAATCTCTCCTTACCCTCCCCCAGTAATTATTCAAAATTAGGCATTTAGGATAGTTTTGAAGATAACCACAATGAAACAGCTTTGATTTGAGTATCTGGATACCACTCTACAGATCAGAAATAGGTATCACTTGGTTATGAGAACATACTTTGGGAATTTTTGAATTCATGAATTGATGAGGTATGTAATGAATGTTGGAGTTGACCTCTTTCACACCTTCTCTATTACTTCTTTCATTTTCATGTCTGTATCATGAATTAAACATATTAAAGTAAGAGGTAAAATTACAAGTTAAAAATGATTCAACTGAAAAGCATGGTATCATGGAACAAAAATGAGGTAAAGAATTAGGACACTACTAGTTTCAGCTAGTTCTGGATTAAACTAGCAAACTAGTTGTATAATTTTCGGCAATTCATTTATCTCTTTAGCTTTTTTCTTCAGCAAAATAGGAAGGGTGAGAAGTCAATAGAGACCATCTCAAAGATTCCCTCTAATTCTACAACTTTATGATTGTATTTTTTTTAATGGGAAGTGAATATAACTTCATGATTATTTGCTTAGCAATTCAGTCCTTTCCCCTTTGTTCTTTCTTTCAAATCAAGAATATTAGAACATATTTTTTAAAAAACATAAAAGTACACAAGGTGGTCAAATAATAAGACTGAAAAAACTCTGCAAACTTATAAGGAGAGTGTAACCAAGTACCAAATGTGCTGAACACTCAATATAAAAAACAGATTATGTAGAAGAGGGAAATCTGGGCTGATGAATGCATAGTATTTGTGTGCTTTTATTCTTCTCACTGTACAAAGTATTCAAAAGTAATAAAGATTAAAAAGGTCATCAGTACTTATTTACGAAAGTTCTACTTTTTCCAATTTTGCCACAAATTATATTTTAAGTAAGCAGAAAATTCTCCTAGACAATTATTTTTAAAGAAGTCAATATATTTTTAATGTGTGATGTACATTCTGAATCTAAAAATAATTTGGATGATTTAGTGGCATTTTTTTATTCCAAAATCACCTTCTAATGCCTGATTAAATCTCATTTTTCCCTTTACTTTGTGTTCTTTGGGCAAGGATTCTATATGGTTAAAAAGCATTTTGAAACTGCTTCTTCTCCCAGTGCTAAATCCCTTGTCCTTAAGAGTTCAAAAGGAAGGAATCTGGGGCTCATAGTTATTTGGGTATAAGATGTTGCCACTAAAGGATTTGTGAGTATGTGGTATATTCACATGTAGTATGCTACTCAGTGCAATTAGGTGGCACATGAGTTCAAATCCAGCCTCAGACACTCAGCTCTGTGACCCTGGTCAAGTCAATTATACCTGTTTGCTTCAGT